CTCCCCACAATTCCCCAGCGCGGAGCGGGGGGGTCGCAGCCGCCCCCCACCCGCCCAGCCGGCCCGGGGGGGTCCTGGGGGGGGTCCCCGGGTGGGTTCGGCGCAGAGGGGGGGTCCCGGGGGGGTTTTTTGGGGAGGGGTCCCCACCTGGTTCAGCACCTCCATCCTGCGGGTCCGGGCGACGCAGCGCGGCGGGGGGGGGAGCGGCGCGCCGCGGAACAGCCGCGGAGGGAGGGGGGCGCACAGCAGGGAACAGCGGCGCGTGCGCGGCGGCGGGGGGGAGAGAGCGAGAGGGAACAGCCGACAGCAGAGGGAGGCGGGGAAGAGGAGGAAACAGCGAATCTCAAAAGAAGGGCGGAAGTGACGCAATAACGAGGCAATGGGCGCCGCCATTTTGAGTGAGGGCAAGGGTAAAAAAGGGCGGGAAAAGGGGAATTTGAGGGATTTTGGGGATTTTTGAGGGAAATTTGGGAATTTTTGAAGAGTTCAGGAATTTGAGAATTTATTGTGTATTTTTGCCTTTATTTCAGCTTTTGTGCAGACACTGAGGGTTTTGGGGTCTTTTTTGGGAATTTTGAGGTGAGTTTGAGGCAATTTTGGGGAGATTTTGAGGTGATTTTTGGAGGATTTTGAGGGGATTTTGAGGCAATTTTGGGGGGATTTTGAGGCGATTTTTGGAGGATTTCGAGGCAATTTTGAGGTGATTTTGAGGCAATTTTTTGGGGATTTCGAGGCGATTTTTGAGATTTGGGAATTAATTGTGGATTTTTGCCTTTATTTCAGCTTTTGCGGAGACACTGAGGGTTTTGGGGTCATTTTTTGGGGGATTTTGAGGTGAGTTTGAGGCAATTTTGAGGTGATTTTTGGAGGATTTTGAGGCAATTTTTTGGTGATTTCGAGGCGATTTTTGAGATTTGGGAATTAATTGTGGATTTTTGTCTTTATTTGACCTTTTTGAGGAGACACTGATGATTTTGGGGTGATTCTTTGGAGATTTTGGGATCATTTTGTGGTGATTTTGAATCAATTTTGAGGCAATTTTTTGGTGATTTCGAGGCGATTTTTGAGATTTGGGAATTAATTGTGGATTTTTGTCTTTATTTGACCTTTTTGAGGAGACACTGATGATTTTGGGGTGATTCTTTGGAGATTTTGGGATCATTTTGTGGTGATTTTGAATCAATTTTGAGGCAATTTTCTGGAGATTTTGACGCAATTGTTTTTTGAATTCTGGGACGTCCCACACCCATCTTTGACGGGGGGGGCGGTCCATGAATTTATTGTGTATTTTTCCCTTTATTTCAATTTCCTCTCTCTCCACTTTCACCAGGATTATTCGGGAAGGGTCTCAGCTTAATTCGGAGGAAATCCCGAATTTTTTTGGATCCCCAAATTTCTTTTGGGGCTCCCAAATCCCGAATTTATTGCGGGGGCTCCTCCCCTTCCAAGATGGCGTCCAGCATCTCCTCACACATCAGCAGCGCCCGCGGCACGTGGAAACAGCCTGGAAAAACGGGGCAAAAACGCGGGAAAAAGGGGGAAAATCGGGAAAAATCCCATTCCCGAGCCCCCCCTCGCCGAGGAGAGACCCCAGACCCACCTTTGTAGGGCCCCCCCTTGATGGAAAGCGCCACGGAGCCGTCGCGGTTCAGGTACCCGAACCACTCGCCGTGCTCGGGGTCACGGAACTGAGGGGAAATTGGGGGAAATCGGGTGATTTTGGGGAATTTTAGGGGATTTTGGGGGGTTTTGGGAGGGGGAGAGGGAGGTGAGACCCCCTCCTCAAATGGGAAGGGTGTGGGAGACCCCGAAAAGGAGCCCCCAGAAGATTCAGAATGGGGAAATCTCAAGGGGGAGAGGTTTTGGGGACACCCCCAAAATGGGGATACCCCCAAAATGGGGACCCCCACCCCAAATTAGGACCCTTTGGGACCCTCCCCAATTTGGGAGCCCCTCACGAACCCCCCAGACACCCCTCAAAACCCCAAAGTTGCCCCCCCCAAGACCCCAAATTCCCTCTCCAGGGACCCCCAAAAGCGGTTCAGGTACCCGAACCACTCGCCGTGCTCGGGGTCACGGAACTGAGGGGAAATTGGGGGAAATTGGGCGATTTTGGGGAATTTTAGGGGATTTTAGGGGTTTTGGGAGGGGGAGAGGGAGGCGAGACCCCCTCCTCAAATGGGAAGGGTGTGGGAGACCCCGAAAAGGAGCCCCCAGAAGATTCAGAATGGGGAAATCTCAAGGGGGAGAGGTTTTGGGGACACCCCCAAAATGGGGAAACCCCCAAAATGGGGACCCCCACCCCAAATTAGGACCCTTTGGGACCCTCCCCAATTTGGGAGCCCCTCACGAACCCCCCAGACACCCCTCAAAACCCCAAAGTTGCCCCCCCCAAGACCCCAAATTCCCTCTCCAGGGACCCCCAAAAATCCCCTCAAAATCCTAAACCCTCACAAAAGCGCTCCAAGACCCCAAATTTCCCAAAATCTCCCCCAAAATCCCCCCAAATCCATCTCAAATCCTCCAAATACTCCCCAAAATCCTCCCAAATATCCCCAACACCTCTAAAATACCCCAAATTACCCCAAATCTCCCAAATAATCCCAAATTTTTCCCCAAATCTTCCCCAACTCCTCCCAAGCACCCTCCAAAATCCCCCAAATCTCCCTAAATCCTCCCGAATTCCTCCCAAATCTCTCCCCAAAATCCCCAAATCCCCTCAGATTCTCCCAAATTTTCCCCAAAATCCCCCCAAACCCCCAAATCTCCTCAAATCCCCCTGAATTTCCCCAAATTCCCCCAATTTTCCCACAAAATTCCCCCAAATTTCCCCCAAAATGTCCCCAAATTCCCCAAGATTTCCCAGCCCCCAAACTTCCCACAAAATGTCGCCAAATTGCCCTGAATTTCCCCAAATTTCCCACAAAATGCCCCCAAATTTACCCCAAATTTACCCCAAAATGTCCCCAAATTCCCCAAGATTTCCCACAAAATGTCCCCAAATTGACTCAAAATTTTCCCCAAATTTTCCCCCAAATTTCCCCAGATTTCTCCCATATTTCCCACAAAATGCCCCCAAATTTACCCCAAATTTACCCCAAAATGTCCCCAAATTCCCCAAGATTTCCCACAAAATGTCCCCAAATTGACTCAAAATTTTCCCCAAATTTTCCCCCAAATTTCCCCAGATTTCTCCCATATTTCCCACAAAATGCCCCCAAATTTACCCCAAATTTACCCCAAAATGTCCCCAAATTCCCCAAGATTTCCCACAAAATGTCCCCAAATTGACTCAAAATTTTCCCCAAATTTTCCCCCAAATTTCCCCAGATTTCTCCCAAATTTCCCACAAAATGCCCCCAAATTTACCCCAAATTTACCCCAAAATGTCCCCAAATTCCCCAAGATTTCCCACAAAATGTCCCCAAATTGACTCAAAATTTTCCCCAAATTTTCCCCCAAATTTCCCCAGATTTCTCCCAAATTTCCCACAAAATGCCCCCAAATTTTCCCCAAGATTTCCCACAAAAAGTCCCCAAATTCCCCCAAACTGACTCAGAATTCCCTCCAAATTTCCCCCAAAATGTCTCCAAAGTCCCCAAATCCCCCAAAAATCCCCAAAATTCCCCAAATTCCCACCTTGTCGAAGGTGTACTGGGCCACCTTCAGGAACTGGGAGAGCAAACCGGGCCGGGGCTGGAAGCGCAGCGCGGCCAGGAGGGCAACCATGGCCTCGGCGTGGGGCCACCACAGCTTCATGGACCACTCCAGCTGGGAAAATGGGGGAAAAAACGGGGAAATTGGGAAAAATGGGACAAAAATGGGGAAAAACGGGGGGAAAATGGGAAAATTGGGGAAAAAACGGCGAGGAAACTGGGGAAAAGGGGGTGAGGTCACTGGTGTGGGGCCACCACAGCTTCATGGAGCACTCCAGCTGGGAAAATGGGGGGAAAAAACGGGGAAATTGGGGAAAATGTCGGGGTCCCCCCTCACCGGGGTTCATGAGGCGCCCGAGGCTCCCCGGCAGCTCCCCCCCCTCGGGGGTGACGTTCTCCAGCACCACCGAGTCCCCCCGCTGCACCCCGAAATGGGGGAGACCCCCAAAATGGGGGGACCCCGAAATGGGGGAGACCCCCGTGAGGGGAGACCCCAAAATTGGGGAGCCCCCGGGGCTGCTCTTGGGGGAGAAGAGCCCCCGGGGGCAACTTTTGGGGGTCTTGGGGGGATTTTTTGGGGGTCCCAGGGAGATTTTGGGGTTCCCAGGGGTGATTTTGGGGTCCCAGGTGTGATTTGGGGTCCCAGGATGATTTTTTTGGGGTTCACAGGACATTTTTGGGGGTCTCAGGATGATTTTGGGGTTCCCAGAATGATTTTTTGGAGTTCCCAGGACATTTTTGGGGTTCCCAGCTGTATTTTGGGGTTTGTAGGATAATTTTGGGGTTCACAGGTGTGATTTTGGAATCCCAGGTGTGATTGTTATAGGATCCCAGGACATTTTTTGGGGTCCCAGCTGTCATTTTTGGGGTTCCCAGGACATTTTCTGGGGTCCCAGCTGTCATTTTTGGGGTTCCCAGGACATTTTTGGGGTCCGAGGATGGCATTTTGGGATTCCCAGGACATTTTTGGGGTCCCAGGATGGCATTTTGGGATTCCCAGGATGGCATTTTTGGGGTCCCAGCTGTAATTTTGGGGTTCCCAGGATGACATTTTGGGGTCCCAGCTGTCATTTTGGGTTTCCCAGGACATTTTTGGGTTTCCCAGGCCATTTTTTGGGGTCCCAGCTGTCATTTTTGGGTTTGCCAGGACATTTTTGGGGTCCAGGATGACATTTTGGGGTCCCAGGATGACATTTTTGGGGTCCCAGCTGTCATTTTGGGGTCCCAGCTGGCATTTTTTGGGTTTCCCAGGACATTTTTGGGGTCCCAGCTGTCATTTCTGGGTTTCCCAGGACATTTTTTGGGGTCCCAGCTGTCATTTTGGGGTCCCAGGATGACATTTTTGGGGTCCCAGCTGTATTTTGGGGTCCCAGCTGGACATTTTTGGGGTCCAGGATGACATTTTGGGGTCCCAGGATGACATTTTTGGGGTCCCAGCTGTCATTTTGGGGTCCCAGGATGACATTTTTGGGGTCCCAGGATGACATTTTTGGGGTCCAGGATGACATTTTTGGGTTTCCCAGGACATTTTTGGGCTCCCAGCTGTATTTTTGGGGTACCTGCAGGTGCATGAGGACGTGCCGCGCCCCCCACTCGGCCATGGCCTCTGCCAGGGGCTCGGGCCGGCTTTGGGGGTCCCGCGGGGGGTCCCCCCAGAGCTGCAGCCCCACCGTCAGCACCATCAGCGCCTGCGCCAGCGCCTGCTGGGGGGGGGTCCCCGCGAGCTGGGGGCGCCCCCCCTCCAGGGGAGCCCCCCGGGCCCAGCCCCACACGGCCTCGGCCCAGCGCCGCCCCCAGGCCTGCGAAATGGGGCAGGGGGCTCGGGGGGCTGCAGCTGGGGGGGC